GTGATTCTTGTTGGGTTTTGTAGAAGGATTATCGGATTGAGAAGTGTGATTTGGGATTTTGATAAGAAGAAAAAATGGTGCAAAGTCAGTCGTTAAGCACATTAACAATCTGTGGAAGTGTACAATACAGCTCCTGGAGGAATCGTTTAGATTCAGGTAAAGTTTCGGGTTTGATCGGTGATCGATGTATGTTGTGTCGATTTTTGCGTAGATCATCGTTATCCCTTAGAAGCCATTTGAAGTCAGTTAAGCAAAGAAATATGTTGTTGAGGGTAGAAGCTAGATGGCCATTTCAAGGCGGTGGTGGTGAACAAGGTCTAGACCCGAGTTCCGAGCGAAGCGAGAGTGCGAATGAAGATATATTGGTCTTTTTCTTTCAGCTAGATTTAGCTACTCGTGTGCAGGTCAGTCTAAATGCGGGCTTTAGTCTCTTTCGAGATGATTGCTAATGGTTTTTGAAGTGTTAATAGCACTGAATGATCTGCATATTGGTGTATTTTGAAATGGCAGTATGCATTGAATCTGGAGCAGTACGATATTGCGCAACAGCTTAGAGAAAAGCTAACTGAGGTATATGAAATAGATATGTTATGATGTTTCTGTGAGACAAGTTTTGAACTTTTCGATCATGGAAAGATGTTAGCATTAAGTTGGACTTAGCTGGATTCTTGTGTACCGATGTGGTTGTTAGGTGGAAGAGGAGGCGATAAGACTGCATGAAGGGAAAAGAGGATCATCATCGAAAAGTGAAGCTCAAGACAAGGGTATTAGCATTATAAGGCTACGGTGAGCAGATTTATTCGGCTGTTTGTTCGCTTTGTAAGAGATCATCTTGTAATACATCGTCTTCATTATTCATTTGTTATAATTGCAGTGCAGATCTCCAGAATGCTATTGACAGTGAGGATTATGGTTTGGCAGCTAAGTTACGAGATGAAATCTCAAAGCTAGAGGCAGAATCATTAGCTGTATCTGCAAAAGCCTTGGCTTTTGAAAAAGCAGAGTATGCATTTCGTTTGGGACAGAAACTTAGACACAAAACTTTTGGTATATCTTTATGTCTTAGTTGTGCTTCTTTCACATTTTCACTTTGGTTTATATCGCGTAACTAGCTTGCTTTGTATTCATATTAAAGTATTTGCATTGATTTCTTTTCATTTGGCTTTAGGTTACAGGGCTGTAGTTTGTGGGATGGATCCAATTTGCTGTGAATCAAGCTCCTGGATGGAAACTGCAGAGGTTGAAAATTTGCCTCGTGGATCCAATCAGCCATTTTATCAGGTTCTTGTTCCGAAGCAATGTTTATAAAAACTTGTGTTGTAAGAAAACAGAGTAGAAAATAATGTTTGGAGTGTATTCAAACACATGAACAATCTAGACTGTTTAATACATATCTACAGAAGAAAACATGGATATCTATCTAAACTTCTTGCTTGTGTCTAGCAGGTTCTAGTCGATGTTCGCACGCACCCGGATCTACTAGTAGCATATGGTAAGCTCCAAGAGTATCAACGTCCAATATCTTAAACTCTATATACCTTTTGTATCTCATTTTGCCTTCCATGAACTTCTGCTGTTGCACAACACTAACCATTTAACACTCAGTATCACCTGACGATGCATCTTAACTTGCAGTTCCTGAAGACAATCTATTAGCTCTAGAGAAACCCGACAAAGTGAGCAGACTTGTTGTGGATAAGGTCCATCCCCATTGCAATAGTTTTTTTTACTAACGTTTGTCTGTGGTTTCTGCAGGAAAGGTTTGATCATCCATACATTTCATTTCTCTTCTATGGAGCAGATACAGCAGGAGATTTCATCCCAATCCAACAACTTCGTGAGAAATACAACAGACCCCGGCATGAAGTTCCTTTTGATTCACAAGACAAAGACTAAGATGAAAGCGCCATGTAAACCTAAGAAGAATACACAACAGAGCAAGAATCTTAGCATAGCTCAGAGTGTTCTCTGTTGGTTATATTATATCCTACGTAGTCTTGCTATGTACACTAAAACAAGACTTTATCCAATAATGCTTTGTGTATATATGCTTCTTTGGTTATCCTTTATCCACAAAAGCCAATATAACTAATGAACTGCTACGAACTCTGATTCCATAGTGCTATGGCCTGGGATCTTGCTAAGGCCTTTTCGATTCATCAGATTTCTCACGTCTTTCGCCTGACTCCATCTTCCATCCGATGCATATAAATTAGATATGAGGACATAATAAGATGCATCATCAGGATTTAAATCGAGCATCTTCTTAATCACAATCTCCCCAAGATCAAATCTTGAATGCATTCCACATCCGTTGAGAAATGCTCCGAAACATCTCACGTCTGGTTGAATCGGCATCTTCTCAATGACGTCTAAGGCTTGCTCAAGCTCACCTGCTCGAGCTAGCATATCAATCATACATGTGTAGTGTTTCGTGGAAGGCGTGAAGTTATAATCTTTGTACATTGAGCTGAAGTACTTCTTCCCTTCATTAACCATCCCTGTGTGACTACAAGCTGATAAAATGGAAGTGAAGGTTGATTCGTTCGGCTTTTGTTGTTTTTTCAGCATCTCTTCAAATAGCTCAACGGACCCTTTCGTGTTCCCTTGCTTTCCGTAGCCTCCGATCATAGCGCTCCATGTGATTGTATTTTTATCCTCTATAGTATCGAAAACAATACGAGCAGATTCGGCATCCCCGCATTTGGCATAGAAGTCCAGGAGTGCAGTACCAACATGAACACTGGATGATGCCAAGAAACCCAATTTCATTGAATAAGCATGAAGCGAGGAACCTACAACTAGAGACCCAAGGGAAGCACAGGCAGAGAAGAGACTCGCAACTGTTACACCATTAGGCGTCACGGATTCTGCATTCATCCGATGGAACAGAAACAAAGCTTCATGGACAGAGCCGTTTTGTGAAAACCCGGATATTATAGAATTCCACGCGACTATATCTTTCTCCGACTCCATTTCAAACACGTACCTAGCATCTCCATTCTGGTAACACTTAGCATACATGTGAACCAGAGCATTTGCAACATTAGTATCCCAAATACCAACTTTGATGGATATGCCATGAACTGATCTTCCCAGTTCAAGATTCCCAATCAGACCGCAACCTGATAAGACACTTGCAATGGTAACACAATTAGGCTTGATTCCAACCCCTTTCATTTTCTGAAACAAGCTCAGGGCCTTGTCGGCACATCCGTTATGGGTGTATCCTACAATCATAGCTGTCCACATGACGAGATCAACGTGAGAATGGTAGTTAAAGATCCGACGAGCATTGCTTACGTCACCACACTTGACATACATATCGAGAAGAGATGTCACCAAGCATGACCTGAGCTCTATACCGCTCTTGATCAAACAACCATGAAACCACTTTCCTTGATGTAAAGCACCGAGCTTTGTGCAAGCCATCATTAGAGTACCGTAAGTATATTCATTACCCGAAACAGAGCTTTCCCTCATCCGATTAAACAGAGCAAACCCTTCTCCGTACAAGTCATTTTTAACATACCCAGCAATCATCGAAGTCCAACAAACCACATTTCTCAAGGTAATACCGTCAAAAACTTTATAACCACTCTCGATTTCTCCGCACTTAGCATACATATCCAAGAGACCTGTCAATACAACATCATCAGAACTTGGCACCTTAACGATCTGGCAGTGTATCTTCTTCCCATTGTCTAAATCCTGCAGCTCAGTACACGCTTTCAAAGCCATCGAAAAAACAATATTATCATACACGAACCCCTGTTTCATCATAAAATCATAAAACTTTATGACTTCAACACTCTCATGATTCAAGACATAACATCTGAGCATGACCTTGGTTGAATAAAAATCTGGTTCAGGAATTTGATCGAACACCAAGCGTGCATCTTTAGTATACCCAAAAGAACCATACAAACTAACGACCTTAGTGGCACACAAGAGATCACCCATAAGTCCATTTCCAGTTAAAACTCCGTGAACATTCCTCAGAGAATCAATGTTTGTGCACTTACTTAGAAGAATTAAGCACGAGCTCGAAGCAGCGTAATCGTCGCCTTTGGGGGAAAAAAACAATTTTTGGATTGTCGTAAATCGGACGCATCTCTGAAGAAACACAAATCTACTAATCGGAGAAACCCACTTGGGTAAGAGTGATATTGAGCGTAGCATCGGCCTCCGCCGTTCACAACTTACCGGTGGTGTAGCTCTTCCCGCCAGATATTTGGTCTTCTATTTATAACGATAAAACTGAATACCGTGGGCCTTAAATGGGCCCAATTTTTAAAGATACAAATAATCTTTCACGTGTTATTGCAATTTTACTCGTTCAAACGTCTCAAATACTCCAATCATTAAATATTCACCTTAATTATGTTAACGAAACAATTGAAACTGAAAGTGTTTTTTTTTTTGGTAAACAATTGAAACTGAAAGTTGCACCGTTTTTCTAATATGTTGGTAGCGGATTCTAAATTTAGGGTTAG